TCTTGATCAATTTGAACTCCACTTTTAGACTTTCAATATTAATGGTGAAGTCAAAATCAAAAGCAAGTATTCTTAAATAAAATTGTGGTAAAGTCACCAACCAGCGTAACTTTTTATAGCATGAGTAATTTTTATTTATTCTATTTTATTTGTTTATATAAATATTTTATTTGTAGTTGGGAGGAATATTTATCACACTAATCTAATAAAAAAGTTTAATGAGCCTCTTTTGAATATATAATAACGTAATAATTTCGTATACGCCTTACCAATTTTGAGTTGGGAAAGATAAAAAATGTTTTTATAATATTGGAAATGGTTTTGTACTATGGTACGTAAGTACGTAATTGTCTGTGCAACTCCTTTTGGATTTATTGGTAAGACAAAGTATTTGTACGTAACATAAATCATTTTTATCAATCTCATTTGAAAGAAATGGAACAAAGAAGCTGATATGGAAATATTAATGTCGCAGTTAAAATGTGAAGCGATTCGAACCAATTCTTTAAAAAGTAAGAGTAATAAAAAACTAGCATTCGTTGTATGGGCGTAGCTGTAAAAAATTTTAATGTTTATATTAATATAATAGTTTCTTCTCTTAATTTTGTTAAACAATGTTCTAAAGAATTTAAAGATCTGTATATAACTAAATTTTATTTTTCTACTTTGTTGAAGCTCATATTGGAATGCGGTTCTGATCTGGAACTTAGTTACCAAATCTATTTCGATAACTTGGAATAAGTAGAAAAACATTCTTTTTGGCTTTGTAAGTAAAATCTTACTCCATATACCAGTCGTTTAAAATTTATAAACTCAATAATGAAATGACTAATGGAAAATGCTTAGCATAGTGTTCTTAGTAAAACATCTGATTGTATAAGATTGTAAAATAATTCTCTTGTCTGAAATTACCTGGGACGTTAACCAACTCTCTTATCAAAGCTGTCAAAACAAAAACCATTTTGAACTATGTTAAACGAATCGTTGCCCATGCCATGATTTCAATTCCCATTCCTGCATAATTGATTTATCAGACCTTTTATGCCCTGACCAGGGTATATAAAGTTTGCCATGAAGTGTATACTTGTATATATATAAATGATCTGCATGACGAGCTGAGTCAATTTAGTCATATGTCTGTCCGGATGTCTGTATATACTGGAACTAGTTCCTTAGTTATTGAGATATCAATCTGAAATTTCGCACACATCTTTTTCTCCTGAAGAAGCTGATCATTTATCGGAGCTGCTAATTTCGGACCACTCTAGCATCAGTAACGTATTTTTTTGTTTCTGTAACTGAGCAGTTTTGGATCTCGAGATTTCAAAACTATTTTGACTTTTATTTTATGACTCAGTAAATTCAGCCCAAGCGGCCATCTCGTCCGTCCGCGAAAGAAGGATACTATTTTGGCTTATAACTTATCATTATTAAAGTAGATCACCCTTTTTTGATAGTTCAAATGTCAAAAAGTAAACAAATATGCAGAAAAAAATATCATTAAAAAAACTGAAGAGAACGCTCCTTTCAAGATATCGTGAGAAAGTATTATTGCTGAAAAAAATGGACTTAAATACGGATCTGGGGGAGATTTATAAGAAAACTAATTGCTTAAAGGCCCGAAAAATTAAAACACATTTAAATTGATTCTAGAAATTTAAAATTGACTACAGGAGAAATCGAATTGATATTATGCTTGTAGGTAGGCGGATCGCCCTATTACCTCACATCTACTTATGAGACACAAAAAGGGATAAGTATAAGTTAGATAAGCTTTGTTGTAATTGAAAATAACCCAATTGTGGCACTCGGGCTAGTTCTGACGTGAGTATATACACCTATGTATATATGTAAGTACCAATGCAGCTTAGATATGGATTTATATACGTGTACATATGTATGTATGCACTCATATTACTAACTGATATTTATGTTATGCGTCACAACATTGGTAACCACGGTGCTATACATAATTTGTAACTAACGGTTTATTCATTTGTAGCTATGTAATTGAGTGCGTATTTATCTACATTTTATTTAACTTTAAAAAATAGCAAATAGAAACCAACAAAAATTCGAATAAACCGTATTAACAAACAATGGCTTAAATAAAATGCAGCGGCGCCTTTGTTGGTGTCGAATGCGGAAGCCGGCTTCGCCGTCATAGACACGATCACTGAACTTAGCGTTCATTAATTTTTTCAGCTTTTGTAAATAGGTGGGCTTTTTTTACAATTTGCTTGTTTGCAAATCGCCTTCACTATCGGTTTTATACGTCGTTTTTGCTAATTTTTCGCATTTTTTACGGCCAACAACAAAAAAGCAAAAAACCTCAAACTGCAAACGATACAACTTTTCCGCGGCGATGATGGTGTTTGCGGTAAAATATGCAGTTTTTCCTGCATTACAACGTTACAACGGTAGTTTGCAAGCTTTTCCATTATGACAATTAACGCTCAGCGCTGCCACTTCTTACAAATGCCAGCAATCTTAGGCTGTAAAAAATAAAAGCTACACATGTACACAAATATATAATTGTAAGCGCTGGAGATCGCATGCAAAACAATGATTTCTAAAAAACTTTACGTTTTGCTGTTATTATTGCTTTTAGACAGCGTCTCACTTCTTCACTTGTAAATTTACGCTATAACGCGATTTAATTTTATTATTTTTCAAGGTTCTTTATTTAATTTTACTTTTTTGTGTGTTTTGTTGTTGTAAAGTGCGTATTTTTTTCATGCTTTGTACCACTAATACTGGTTTCCAGTCCAATCAAAACGGGGGCTTATTAGCACTCGCCGCTGCAAACATATTTACTTTGCTTGACTTTATACCTGTTTGTAGGTATGTGTATGTGTATACATATCTGCATATGTGTGTGATATTTATATTTTTATTTACTAGCTGGCTTTGTATCGTTTCGCATTTCGTCATCGCGGCATCGTGCGCAAACGAAATGCTCAACTAAAAATTCAAAGCGCTGAAGTTGCCTTTGTGCGCGCGCGTTTGCGTTTATTGCTTCGATGACCAAAGGTAAAAAATATGTTTACGAGTGCGACAGACAGCGCGAACAATGGCCAACCGCATCAACACACAACAAAGTTCATACCTGTGAACAGATTGCAACAAAAATTATCGCATCGGTTACAAAGTCTCTCATAATACTCTTGGTAAGGGGATAAACTGACATGGGGGCGCGATTCTGTGAGTAGATTTGAAGCAAATTGGACGCAACCTATTTTTGATACAAAAATAATGTCTTCCTATTATATAAAATATGTTTAAATTCTACTACGTAGATAAGCGCGTTTAAAGATCCGTACTACCATATAGTAGATCTGATACCATGAGTATTGTTTTTTTCTAGGTATGAAACTATGTGTTGAAGGTACCGAAATTTGATATCATATTACAAACAATAAAAGAAAAAACAACAGTTTTTTTTGTAATTTAGTTTTTTGTTGTAACAGTTATTCAAAATTTCGATAGTTTAAAGCTTCAAGGTTTATAACATAGGGTTTTGTTTCCATATGGTCTCCTCATTTGAGTGAAATAAGCAAGCTACTTTTTTTTGGCTGAAATCCAAATCTGTCAAAGAAGAGGTGTGGAGGACTAGTTCATAGCCTAAATGCCCATTCTATCGGTCGAATACCATCTCATAAAATCATGCAAGTCGTCACCCCACCTCTGTTAATGAGTGCTTAAAAAGCGTCGTGCATATCATCTTAATATCTCTTATGGCTCTTATCGACTAAACAGATTTTGGTTAATGTTTGGGTATGAAAGGTGTCAATTCCAGACTCGTACCAGAAGATCTGAATGTTTTGGAAAAAAAGAACGTCTAGTAGAGGGCGGAAAAGTGTTGCTTGACAATGTAGCTGAGGATGCTACATTAATCAAACGTATCATTACTAGTGACAAGACGTGCATTTATGAATATGACGTCGAATTGCGTTCCAAAAATGATCCCAAACCGAAAAAACCACTAAGCCGCTGAATTCATTGAAGACCATCCCAGCCGAAGCTTATAACAACTGGATCGAAAATTGAATTAAGTGTTGGCATGCTTGTATTTGCTCAAAAAGAGCCTGTAACTGCAACTCTCTTGTATCGGATTCATTTTGCTAATTTTATGTATGCTTTTACATGTAACAAGTTCTCTCGTTTCGTTCATAACTTCACGAAACACTAGATTTTACCGTCACGAACACTCTAAACTGGGACGAAATTGCCGTATTCAATATTATATCACTAAGGTTCTGAAATGTTTGTGTAGTTGTCTCATTAGCCAGCACTTCGAGATCACAGACGCAAGAAGGTACAAGTAAAGCCTATTCGATATAACGTTGTTACTGGGTATGTGAGCTCCATACATATACACAAAGATGTGCTATCATGCACAGGTTGACTATGAACCTAACCTAACCTTGCACATTGTTTCCCAACTACTAACTACGACACTGTTTTTTGTTATGCCCGCAAGCTTAGCTTGTAAACATGTTATAGTGGCTATTCGCCTTTATTGCATTGGTGCGCGTATACGAATATTATTACTGCAACAAAACTGTTTCTAGTTGTCATTGCAGTTGTGTATTGGTAAACAGTTACTTTAAAGTTACAGCAACATCTTTTTTACATCTACACTTTTTGCACTCATTTGACCTTAACATTTCGCTTGGTTATTTATTTATTTATTTGATTGCTTTTCAATAATTTTTGGGATGGGAAACCACAGAGCTTATTTGGCGAGATATCTGTATGTATACATACGTATGTATATATTTGCAATATATTGCAATTGTAATTTCACAAAACGTTAGCGTCAATATGAATGCCACACGCGTACTTGCATTGCAAAAACTCCGAAAAAGAGCAATCACAATAAATACCAGCAAACACCGAAACTGCGCGATCAGTGCAATTGCGACTGCGAAATGCACTGTAGGTCCAACAAGTAAAAAACCTGATAGCTGCTAATGCGCTAACTTTTTTTTTCTCACTTTTTTCCATTCACTGACTCACTCACTACACTCGGACAGATCACTTAGCGGTGCGATTGAGCGCGCGCGTGTCTACTTCCACGTCCTAACGCTCGAACTGGGCCCGTGTGACTGACTACGCCGATTGCCAGAGCTCTCTGCGCGTTGTGCACAGGCACACAATACAATCGCAGTGTAAGGGTGGGGTGTTTGTAGTACTAACATTTATGGACTACAGCCATCTATGTTAAAGCCATGGGGGAATTGCACGTTCGAAATGCTTCAGTGATCGCAGAGCGCTCTACTGCTCGTGCACAGGCTCCAAGACAATTGTGCTGCTCTCTGCCTGTAAGCTTTTTTGAGTACTTTGCGGTATGAAAAATTTACATGTTTTATGGGGTTATTTCTATATGTGAGCTCAATAGACTTTAGATGAGATACCACGATCATTAGACATCTGGTGGATAGTTACAAATACCGAAGCATGCATGATACTGTTTCAAAGTTAAGCGCTTACGAAAGTACGGCAAAGAAATATCGCGTCATCCGCGTTTCAGTGAGCTTATGCTTGGCATATCTGATTATGTTGTTGTCATTTCGTTGTATCAGAGCTGTTTATCTTCACGCTCTTACTCTCAGTGTCTACATCATGCCGGTTTCGTATCTTAGAGTTATGTGATGTGCTTATGCCTGATACATGCGCATGATGCTTGTTAATCACGAGTTTTATTTCTACTTTTTATGATTCAAAAGTGTCGCTAAAAGCTTTGAAAATCTTTAACTTTCGTTTTCTACATAGAGTGAATTTTCAAATTTTAGGGCATTTTTCACTTTCATTGCGCTTGTGAGCAGAATACCAGGTAATTACTTGAAGTACGACAATGAAATATCAAATGTGCACTCCAACTTTGCGTTACGACTTGTGTATTAACGGTTTACAGCTTATACCCAAACACACATACACACAATAATATTTAATAATGCATGCACTTTGTTATTTATGAGTTTATTGCTTTCTCCTTTTTCGTTTTATTTACAAACGTTGTTTTTTCCATTATGTTGTAATCGCATTACCCTGAATATCCAAAAACCGCTGTTACCATTTATGTTCTGTGTGACTTATCGCCTATTAGGTAATGTAATGCAAATTCGTGCTTAGCAGTTCAAACAAGATCACCTTCAGAAAGCTGCTGCTAAGTAAACTTGGATCACAATATGGGCTTTAAGCTGCTGTTAGTGTAAATTAACATAGCTGTTAAAAAGCTTTTAGAGCTTCGATATGTGGAATGTGTGGGCTGAGAAAACAATTTACAGAAGTTTACGGCTTTAAAGCTTATTTCATATATATTTATAAAATAATTCTTCTGTGCCGATCATAAGCTAGGATGGACATGTTCACAATTTTCAACTTCCATGCGATCATCGTGAATGTTTTGAAAAGTTAGGTTGGAGTTTCTTACCATTAACAGCTATGGTTATAACAGTTCTTATGTATATACTACATAGGTATATACATAAATGTCCGTCTGCTGTCTGTATATACGCGAACGAGTCCTTCAGTTTTTGAGATATTATTTAAAATTTTGCACACGTCTTTTTCTTCCCAAGAAGTTGCTCATTCGCAGGAACCGATATCGGACTACTATAGCATATACATACATAGGTGCTATACGAACTGATCGTTAAAAATGAAGTTCTTGAATTTAAAACTCTTTTTTCTTGTTTTGTGTTATTTTCGCAAACGAATAGCGACGAGGCTAAATAATTTGATTATCAAGAGCTTATGTTCATTTCTGTGTTCATAATTAATAAACCTAGCATCTGCCTCTAATGGAAACTCGTCATTAAAATATCTTGACATAAATGAAAAATTCAATTTAGCCTCGAATAGATGAGACCCACCTACTTTTATTATGACGACTTCGCTTCCCGAACTACAAATTTTATTGAAACGATTGAACATGACTCATTCCCCACAGATGCTGCGATTTCCCTTGATCTTTTGAGTTGGCCAACTTTTTGTGAGAACCATTTGGAATTGAGGATGTTCCGCGTACGGTTGTGTTAGATTTCATGCCTTTGGCATTTGTAATATTTATATGAAATACCTTAAATAATTCGTTTCACCTTATAAATATAATATCTGTTTTTATACATTGACCCTTACCTTCAATACAACTGATCGCCTTTTTTTGATGTAATCTTTTGTCTCTGACACGTTTCGACCAATCAGGACTGCGATGTACTTTGGAACGTTCACGTACACTGAAATAAAAAGAAAATAAAGTTAATAAACAAAGAAAGCTAAATTTGAGTATTATATTATCCTATATAAATAAGATAGCAGGGTGGCAGAGGAGAGTGTCGCCAGGAACAAGCGACTTCACTTTTATTAGGCGTCAAATCACAAAGCCATTGAAGGTAATGAGATAGTGACAAGAGTGGTGTACAACTGTCATCCGGAAATGTGACCAACATTGTTATACCCATTCAACGCATATATAAAGATCTGAACAGGAGGATGATAAGGAAGATAAAAATGCTATGGAACTGTCTACCGGGGTGCAAAAATGCAAAAATCATGCATAAAACTGTAGATCAGAAATACATGAACTATTCACTGACAGTCGATTCGATAGAAGAGACTGTAAGAAGATGGTTGGAATGATCAGCGGTCACAGTCTGGAAGGGGATTCTGTAAAAATTAGCGCCAAGAACTGTCATCCTAATGGATTACTAGATGGCATCTGGTATCGCTAAGGATCAAAACTGGTCTATTAGTGGCTTATTAGCATATCAGACTAATCTAACCTAATTTACCCTGCAAGCCACCCATCTGTTAAAACAATGGTTACTAGTTACCAGTGCTACCAGAGATTTCTGTTAAATTTCCTATACGTTTCTTAAGGCCCAATTGACAATTCTAACCGAAACTCTTGTGGATGTGTGATCGTTCATCTCTTTCTTAAGCAAGGGCCATATGTGCTGCACGGTGTGTATGGGTTAACTGCCCGAGTATATAAATAAGAGCCCATTCTCACAATATATATGTACATAAAGAAATACTTTGTAATCGATTGTGGCACAAATTTGTTATCTTAAAATGTATTCGTAATGAAATTTCCAATTACAGCCATCAATCAAATTTGTTTTTCACAAATCAACAAAGTATAAATACCACAAACGACACATATGCGCAACACAAATTGACAACTCAAGAACCGCGCTAATATTCTTATTATACGATACATTTCCACATATGTACATTCACTTGAATATACCCAGCAAACATAAAAATGATATTTCTCCAACCTTTGGGAAATTTATAGTATTCAAGTATATATACTAGCAAAGGAGTATAATATAATTTTAGATATTTACGGCATTAAACCATAGTATAACCAGTATTATACGTTTAGTTAATTTTGCTAAGGTATCTTACATATTGACCGATATATGTATATGGTTTAAATCTAACTGGAAGTTTGAAAATATTTTATTAGATATATGGGTGATAAGGTACTTTAGGTATTTATTTTTGGCATTATAACATATTATTAACAGAAAAACATGTTTTCTGAGTTTTATAAAAGTACCTCGTCCATACCGTCACCCATATATAAGGAGTAAGGTCGACCGGATGTTTGAAAATTCTAATATTAGTTATATAAGGGTTAGGGCAAGTTTTCACCCGATTTTATCAATTTTTGGCACAAAGATACGTTTTTATTAAGAAAACACACTCTTTCAATTTTATTGAGATAACTCACATGCTAACCAATAGTTGCGGTATAAAGTCACCCGGGAGTTCGACTATCGTAATAACGGAATTTTTGGAATACAGAGGCATACTATTATCAGAAAAGGATTCTTTTCTGAATTTCTATAATACCTATATTTCACAGATTGGCCGATATTCGTGCAAAGTTTCATCCAGATACAGTGATTGCTTCTTATTTGTATACTGAAAAGTGAAAATATCAAATGGATTTAAAAATTTTTTTATATGGGAAGTAGGCGTGGTTGTAGAGCGATATCGCCCATTTTCGCACTGTAGTATAGGAATACCAGAATACTCTACTCTATATATACACTATACTCTATGTATACACTATAGTAAATTGCAAGAGTATAAAAAAAATGTCTACAAAGGATGTTATGATTATTCGATTGAGGTACTTTTTAAAAAGATATAATTAGTTCTCAGTTTATGCTTCCCTTTTGCTCAAAACAAAATGTTTATTGGGTACATTTATTATCAAATATAGAGAATGTGGTTCTTATCATCATTGCCGCGTAGAAAAGTGTAGGTTTCTAGGTCAGTGGGGTGAAACGAAACGAAATTCGTACGCCTACATAATCCAATTTAGGCGCTATAAACTGGTATGCACATATGTATGTTCGAATGGATGTATGTATATATGTACATACATATACTTGTACATATATCAGAGGGTGAAGTTGAGTGGCGAAATGTAACAAGTAAATGTCTCATTGAATCCATCGAGGTTAGGTCCAGAGCAGCTATATCAACACTATTATATACATTAAATTATACTATGTATATACATATATATGTATAATATTTTCGGAAGCATTTATTTATCGGTTTTGTCTATCTGTTGTAACATATAAAACCTTCGCTGGAATTCGGTAGTCTCTTCTGAGTCATATCTCATTGGAAATGAATATGGTCGGATGAAAAGCTACAGTGTATTGTTCTCTCTCTCTAGGCTCTTCTTTCGCTAAAATCATTATTTTTTCCAAGTTTTAAAGAGTCTATAATGAACTAAGTCTTCCCAAAACCTTCAAGAATGTTCATTTGGTGTACTCCTAACAGAACTCAACACTTCCCATTACTGGATTTATTGCAATTTCGCATAATCACATACGACCTACATACATACATATCTACATATGTATGAAGAGTAGAAACACAAAGAACATTGTTTTCCGCATGCGGGTAGGAAAAAGAAAGAAACCTTTCAACTGAAGCCAGTGACTTGCTGTTTTCCATATCAATCGTTCATATTTTGTTCATCCTTCTTCGCCTAATTTGCTTGAAAGCAACAGTTTAATTGTTTGCGTTGCTAATTGAGCTAAGCCCAATGCCTAGACCTTTTTCATTATTACAAAACCGTTGACTGTTAACTGAATGAAAGAGATGTCTTTTAAGAGAAATTATGATCACTTTTTACTTGATACTAATGTGTATGTACATATGGGCCGACACGAGCAACGTACCGCAGTTGTAAAAATAAAATTTCGATTACATTCAGAGTTCATTCAACTTATCTCTCGTAAACTTAAAGTTATACGAAATATTATTGTTATATGAGCCTGGAATTTATGTTTTATATTTAACACTGTTTCTAAAACTTTGAAATATCAATTTGGAAATTAATTAATTCAAAAATGTAACCTACAAGACACATTTCTGATATTCAGAGAGTTATTTGGTCAATCCTACCAATCCATACAATTTATGAAGTCCACAGAAAATAGCTGCGGCAGTGCTAGGTAGACTGTGTTTTATGTCTTCAAAAGGGCCGTGTACAAATTTAACAATTGTCGGTCAATTGGTCGGGGCAAAATGGCTACAGTGCGAGCTTACAATCGACCAAAAATAACAAAGAATTGCAGAATTATCAATGTGTTCAATGCTGTTTAATTGGCTTAAATCTGAACTTTCGCATCGATTTGTTACGATGAATAAAATAAGGCTCCATATTTCACTTCGTAGTCCTATTGACAGTCATTCGAGAGACTGTCCATGACCGAATCCATAGCGTAGGGCGCATCAGTCAGCTGGAAAAGTGATAATGTCTACATTTTATTTTCAAAAATTTGCCTCATATATCTAAAAAAGGGATAATCACCAACCAGCCATCAGTGACTATTATATAAAGTTATTAAAGGAACGAAAGTGTTTAAAAGTTATCACATAGTTAGATGTAAGCGTCCATACTGAAGCAAATTTCGAACTAAAAATTCATATCACAATAATGTTATCAGAAAACTGAAACATTGTTTACGATTCCAACCAATTTGAATTATAAAATCTAATTTTGGCAAAAGAGTGCATTTTTCTCAACTATGATACCATTTTCATTCTTCTTGGTATATACTTGTATAATAATATTTCAGGATTAAATATTTACTTCTATGTATAAATATGTAGCGTTATATAATATTTACTTGTAAACTATTACATGACGGGATTCTGTCCACTTTTAAAACATTTTATACCACGTAATTCTTTACTGTGATCCTCGCACTTTATATTTTCTCGATTAACAAAATTTTCTGGTCGTGACAACCGTCCAATTTTGCCTTTCTGATCCATTTAAGTTTTAATGATATATCTCAATTTTTACCCAGGTTATCGCTATCCGACGAAGAAATGAACGGACAAACAGACATTCGGAATTTAACTCGTTTTGTTACCCTGATAAATATTATATTATTAACTTTACATCTATCTAGTAGTAGAGTAGTTATAAATAACGGTAAAAAAAAACCTTTTACACTTTGCAACATGTTGCGAAAGTATAATAATGGTATCAAATGACCATGTTTTAGTATGGATTTCGTTTACACTGAGCCTGACTTCAAGAATGAGAGAGTGAAAATTTCATGTAGTATTGAAAAGTGATTGCAATCAAATATTATGTGGATAATAAATATACTGAAGAAGTAAAGATAAAGCAGTTTAGGCGGATTTACTAATAGAATAATGGTATCAAAGCACTTGTATCATAACTTAGGGCGCTGAGTCGGGGAAATGGCTGATCGTTGATTACATCGAAAATTTAGGACTATCTTAGCTTTCAAGCTTCATGGTAAACACACATCTTAAGGGTTCGAGTTCTACTCTACTGAAAGAATGCTAGGTTGGTTGTTTGTGAGCAGACGATATATATGTACTAGGGTGAAGTGAAACTTTTTTTTAACCTTTATGGGCGACCCACTCACTTTTAAAGTAAATTTTGAGTTAAAATATTTTTGGACAAGAAAAAATTATTTTTGGCTTACATTCTTTACATATATATAAAAATTACCGAATGTGACGGTGAATGTGAATTTAATTCAAAATTTATTTTAACGCTTAAGGAAAGCATGTTGTCGTTTAAGACTTTTTTTCAAAGCTCCAATAATGACCACAAACAATTTTTTTAAGCTGATAACTTTTTTACGAAATAAAAATGCCAACTCGAAATTTACTTTAAAACTGAGTCTGCCTCCTCTAAATGATAAAAAATGTTTTTTTTTGTCCACAAATTTTTTTTTTAATAATCTACAGATTTTATCCACAGGCTAAGCAAAAACAAAATTTTTTTTTCGCTCCGTACGTACATACATCTGCATGCAATTTCGTAAAAATAAAAGCCAAACCTTATCTGAATATTACCTTGCACTATTTATTTATAATATTTAACCATACACAAAGTCAATTTAGCTGCAGGTACTACTACACTCGTTGATTTCATAATAAAACCTTATCAGGAAATGATTAAGAATTATTATTAGCTATTCCGAATAAATGCGGGAGGAAAAGCGAACGAGGAACATAAACGAGTAAGGAGAAAAAAAATATTTATGGATGTATTCGAACTTGCGTTTTCCTCGTGCATCATATACAGGTATGTTTACATACAAGTATATACGAGTATATAGTCTACTTTAATTTATATGTATATACAAAATAAATATAAACAATGAGAGATAAGATAAGAATGGTACCTCATTAGGCACAACAAAATTTTGCTATTCGCTAATTATACAACAATAATAACCGATTTGAAACACATCCATTAGCAAAAATATGAATAAAATATTAAAAATATGTTTATAAAATGTTTTTGAAAAACGGCTAGAATTGTTAAATACTTACACAATGAATTGCGGTTTGACAACTTGCTCCGCACCTTCCGCCTCGGGATCTGATATATCCACCCATTCATCACTGTTGTCACTTGTCGTGCCACAATGCGACTGAGTATAGTTCTTTGTGCCAGCGTGACCATCACTATTCTCATCGCTACCATTATTAGTAACAGCACCGATGCGCCCGGAAATGCTTGCACTTGATTTTTGCGCCGTCGACGACTGCCTTGAGCCCAGACTACCCGTGCCATAGATCATACTGGCCGTCACAGACATTTCGTATAAACTATTCGTTTTGTGATCTGATGAGATGGTAAGCGTCGAACCACTACTACTTCCCGTCAAATGGCCGACAACAGTACCGTTACTAATACGACGGTAATGAGCGATGCTCTCGTAGCAATTCGAGGTGAGAGAAATGTTATCACTAACACATTTTGTTATAGTATTAATGGATTTTTGTGTTGCACTGTCAGCAGTTTGCACCGATTCGTAACAGTCTGAACCCTTAATGGTGTCATAGATGTTTTCATCATCTGCATAGTAATGATGCTCGTCGTCATGATCGTCTATTGCAGGGATTGTGCTATTACTGCTGCTCTTGCTACAACCTAATCTGCTGTTAAAGGTTTTAGTGTTTTCTCGAAGGAACTCTGCGTTCTTGCTAGCAGACTTGGGCGAACGCTTACCAGGCATTGGCGATTTGGGCAGACGACGCTTAGGTTTCGGCAACTCGGGCAGTTCGTCGTTGGTATTACGGACGTTTCCTACGCTTGTGGAGATTTGTTGCATAAGTTTGACACTTGTATTGCTGGATGCGCTGTCGTTTAGAGGCACTGCAGCCGTAGAAAGTGCAGGTGGTATGTCCGGCGGTGGCTCACAGATTTCATACCCATCGTACAAGGGTTTGCTACTACTCGTTATTGCTGTAGCAGCCGCTAACGTTAACTGCGTTGTTTGTTCGGCGGAACCCGCTATGGATTCATAGTCAGCCAAGAGTGCGACATTTGTTGCTTCAGCCACAGTGGATGTAGTTGTGGCTGTAGCTTCGTCCACAGTTTGGTAAATGTCCTCGAAAAGCTCACTACTTTCGGCTAATGGTTTAATGAGTTTCAAGTTTTCTATCAAACCTTCGTTTATTTCTTGCGTCTTCTTCTCTTGTGCTGCCACTAAACTGTTATACAGGAAGGATTTTGGTGGTGAATGCATAATGGTGCATTGTGGTAGCGTGTTGGTTATTATTGTTAAGTGTTCTTCAGTCTTTGTAGTTTCAGTCGGTCCAGCAATCGGTTCGTACATTGGCTCTGTCGAAGCTGCTGCTTCTTTTGTCGTTTTAACACCTTCAAGTTCCACCAAAATGGGTTGATCCATTTGTACACTTAATGGACGTACCAGTTCGCTGTAATCGCATTGCTGACGCAGTAGTGCCTTTTGCTCCGTCATCAGTTGTTCTCCCTCTATACTGTTTACAAGTGAGACATTGACAGCCTGTGCCACAATCAATTTATTATTGGCCACTTGCCCGGTGCTCGCCTGAAATATGAAGGAGTTATTCGGTAGCACACGTTTTTCAAAGTCATCCTCCGGGGAGAGTAGAAGAGCGGCAGCATTCTCATCGTTTTGTTCTATTGCGAGATCTTTTAATTTGTGATCGATGATTTCGAGTGCATCGAGTAACTTCGAATCTGGTTCAGGGGTCAGTGTGTCTGTATTAACGGTATTTAAAGTATTATTGACCTCCTTGATCTCTTCAGTCTCTGTTGTAGTAGTCGTTGTTGTTCTTGTTTCTATGGTTAATGCTGCGTCTTCCGCTAACTCAGTAACTGGTCGCTTAATTTCTTCAGTCATTGCAGTCGGCAACGTCGCCTGTTTCGATGACAGTTTCTTGTTACTGTGGCCGCCAACAAATGGTGACCTAAAACGGAACTTTTCATAAATTTTCGCATATTTGTGTTTGCGTTGCTTTGCCTTCTCATCGTTCACGGCGTCGAGTTGGTCGTCATTGTACGCGTTGGTCGGCGTTTGTATTATCTCCTCCTTTGTTGGCATTTCGCTCCACGTTGGTGTTGTACTGGTAATTGTGGCAGTTGCTTCGCTGCTAGTAACGCTAGCTAATGTTTCCAGTGTCGCACCAGTCGTGGGAATGTTAAGCTCAGCTTTTATGGTGGCCTCCGTTATTGCTACAATTGCAACGGTTTTAATTGCGTCCTCTGCCGGCATCGCCTTAATGCAAATCGTATCGCATTCTATATCAATATCTCTTTTGCTAACTTCAAATGTTTTCGCATCGGTTCTTACATCATTAACGTTGGATATTCTCATATCTTGCGTAGTACTGCTACTGAGGCATTCATCAAATGCATTTCTACTGCCAACGCTTTGCTGTATACCATCTCCTTGCCGCTGGTCGACTTCGTTAAATGTTTTTGCGACATCAATGTTGCCATTGTTACTGTTATTGTATATTTTGTACGTGCTTTCCATATTTTTTGCGTTTGGCACGTTTACCTGTAACTTGCCCAACGGGCTGCTCCAGATTGATTTTTCATATGCTTCTAGCGGTGTTTTCGACTCTTCGGTTACAACTTCTAACGGCGGCGAGAGCGGTAGCGATAATTGGGCTTTCTTCATTTCGAGTTTCAGCTGCAGCTCATTTGTTGCTGTGGGCGTGACATGAAGTTTAAAGTTCTTTGCTACACTACTACTGCCATTGTTATTCAGACTATACTGTTGCGCTGTGTTGAGTTCGCGTAGCTTTTGTAGAACATGCGCACTTTTCGCTGGGACCACAGGTTTAGCGGCTTCAGGATTGCCTTCAAATTTCATTATATTTCGCTGCACAGTGGAAGGACCTGAGAGAGACCCTTCTGAATCGCGCGCACTACGCTTTGTGCTAGGCAAAAGGCGTTTGTTAGTATCCAAAGCGACGTTTGGATTCTCCACCACTTTGTAAACATGTCCGCCGCGTGACATGAGCACACCATTCTTGCGTTTCACTTCTTCCAGCAGCTTCTTATCTTTTTGTATCATTTCATTGAATTGTTGCGTCAGTTTGGCAACTATATTACCACCCCCTGGCACCAAAGTGGCGCCACTACCAGCAAAGCCAACGCTACCATTGTTGAAGCTACCGCTATCACGTTGACTCATTTTTCGCGGTGCATGAAATGTGCGCGTGTGTGTTTTAAAACTGTATTTTCGCGCGGATGCTGAGGACGATGAAGAAGAGGCGGTACGACGCGCGCTGCGCCCCCCTGTGTTCGTACCACTAGTTATCGAACCCGATGTTGATAATGTAAGCGAGGTTGATTTGTTCGAATCGCTGCTACTGCGTTTCGCCACCGACGTATTAGCTGTTTCGCGTTGTGCGTTCCGCTTACGACTGGCTGAAAGACGAGGTGAATTGTTGGCAGCAAGAGTATCGGTATCGGAAGACTCGGCAGGGTGTTCGCGCCAATCGAACGGGGTGGTCGGCGTTGTTGGCTCCATATCATTTGTTGTTGTGACGCGCGCTGCGGTGTTTGCACTTACACTGATAACAATTGCGTCATTTGATAACGATGTGGCTTTTTCATGGTTAATACGGCTATTTAAAGTTTCCATTTCCAAGTTTTCACGACGCTTCTTTACCATGTCTTGCCTTTTTAGCCAATGTATGCGCTCACCGCGGTCACTCGCCTGCACTGCTGGAAAGTGCGCATCGTCGTCACGCGTCTCACTACTTACGATGCCGGCGGTGACGCGCCGCGCACTTTTCATACGCATGCGCGCCTCGCGCGTCAAATGTTTTGCTGCTTGTTCGGCCGTTTTGTACTTATAAAAGTTGTCCTTCTCCCGATGTAAATAGTGGAGCTCGGACTCGTGCACTGCTATTGTTGCTGCTGCTTCACTATCAACGCCAACCTGCGTGCAATCGTGTAGGCTATGCGCGCGTTTTTGGCTCAAGGTTATGCCTTCGTCGCCACTGGAAACAGACCCCGCTGTCACCTTTGCTGCGTTGACTAAACAACCAATGGATTTTGTTAATTTGTTCGCTTTGCTGTCACTTAGTGAGTTTTGTTGCCGCGTTGCGTCCTCACTAGCGCTAATGCGTTTATTCCACAAGTGTCGCAAATTTTGGACGCCACGAAATTCACGTAGTGTAACATCGCGTTCCGCCGCCGCGTTTGTCGATGGCTGTGGCCGTGGCGATAATGACTTGGCACGACTCCCTGTGTGGACTTCTTTCCCTTCAACCGCGCTACACTTTATGTATTTTTGTTCGCTTTGCGTTGAATCGGATTTATTTGCTTGTTTTGCGTTGCCACCTCGAAACCAACTGAAAAGTGTCTTTGCTTTTGTTGGCGATGAATTTGGTGTGGTTGGGTTTGTTGTTATTAATGCACTTTTATTTGCATCTTCAATAGCAGGCTTGGCCGTAGCCAACACTGCTGCATCGAATGTGGTCGACATTGTTTTTGTTTTCTTTACACTGTCCAACATTTTGCTGTTCGCTTTCGTTATTAAACACTATTTGCACTAAAATTTTCTTTTTATTTTTGTTTGTATGATTAGCTATCAGCTCACGTTCTTTGGTGTTGCATACTTCGCTTTGGCAGCAATCACTTCGGTTGCAGATGACAGCCACTGCACAAGTGGCTAACGATCCACCGGAGACTTGACGGTGTGCGACAAACCTGTAATTAGAAACAAAAGAGAAAGTCTAAAATTTTAAATTTCTATTTTGGCTTAAATTAGTTTTCATAGCGATTTAGAAAAAAATTAATTATTCAGAAATTTTGTAAATCAAAAGTATCTTCGAACGGAATATTTTAATGGCGCTTTGCTTTGGAAAGATGCTGGTAGCCAATTTTCTGCTAAAATTGACACCAATAAATGCGTTCATACACGATCGCCTATAAAGAAGTCCGTTACTTATCGAATATTTGCTTTTGCTGGTTCTTCGTAGCTTGCTTTTCTACCCTAAATGAACTAGGAAAACATTTGAAAGGTACTATTAAATCATTTTTAATATCCATCAAAATATCCTGGTGCAAATTATTTATTCTAACTAGTAACTTATTATAATATAAAAGCTCTTATTTTGAATGGCATAATGATAATTTTTCTATAACTTAAATTTTCAGATGCACAGCCCCAATCTAATTCACTAGACTATATTTTAATAAGTGAAAATTATATTCCCAAAACCACTTGTCCCCTCTTTACTACAGAAGGAAACGTCGCAGACCCTGGAAAGTATATACACTTCGCGTAATCAGATTAGCGCTCCATAAGCATAATTGGTTGATGTCAAATATTATCGATAATATTCGAAGTCGTGGGAGTTGGAAGCTTCTTTTAATATGGACCTCCGGTCTGCTTCGGTAATAATACGATTATTGCCGCCTTTGAATTACTTGCTTCTTTATTTCGAAGTAAACTGGCCACTGTTTTTCGATATCTTACCGTTTTGCAAAATTTTTGGGGTTGGGGTTTGGGTTAAAACTGAACGAAAGGGGGAGCGCTAATTTAACGATGCGCAGTGTATATAAAAAATGATCATGATGAACTGAGCCGATTGAGAAATGTTCGTATGTGATGCGATATATGCGATCTAGTCCCTCAGTTTTTTAGATATCGATCTGAAATTTTGAAGACGTCCTTTCTCTCCCAAAGAGCAGCTCAGGACATAGCTGCCATACAAACTGACTGAACTTAAAATAAAGTCTTAGTTTAGAAAACTTTTTCATTTGACGAGATTTATTCATGAAATTGCATGGAGGGCATGGATTACTGTCCCAGCAACGATATAATCTCCGAATCGTTAAGATCGGACCACTATATCAAATAGCTGTCGTCCAAACTGATCCATCAAAATCAAGATAAGTATATTTTAATTTAATTTTATGCTATAAAAAGTGCACCTGTGAATGGCAGGAAGCAGTTACTTCATATATGTACATACATATGTAATTATATGTATGAAACGACTATTAGAGAAATAACTTCGAGTGATATACACAGACACACACCGACAGAGGAACCGGGTAAAATCCCCATAGATGCTACCGAATTCTAAATTATTTCATTCCATTTACAATTTCCTTGATTTCTAATTTAAATACAAATAGTTTCGTTAACTAAGATCATTGTGTGATCTTTTGTGTACGAAAAACTTAAACTCATCATTTTTACAGAAACCGGCCATATTATTTTGGAGATTTTTTTTTTATATTTCTATGAAGAATGTTATATAATGTAAGAGTTGAATATTAGTTTGCTTTGTGATGGAGTAAGAGCTTCTAAATTCAATTTAATTATTATCAGTCATAATTAATTAAAAGTTTCGTCGTATGTCGGAATCCACCCCAAACGTTTGGTACTTCAGCGATACTTTGAAATTTCGGCTGGAGGAATTAGAATTACATTACGAAGGTAAATTTTGACTTGCCAAATATGGCGTATAATTAGCCGGAAAGAGCTTTTAATCCCACTTTTAAGTTATAACCATTGCATATTACGATACATATAATGCATGGATGTGTTAAGCTTTTCTTAAACTTTTTGTCCAAAGGTATCTAGTGTATTATGCAATAGTTTGTGCATAAAATATTCTCCTGCATACCAAGCAGTTGGCAGGGTTTCAACCCACGACATATTGCTAAAAGCGAAGTGATGATAATATGCCAATAGTAATATAACAATAACAGTACTGTCATGAAACTATGAAAAAATGTTTATAGTTTTTGTATACTAATCAAAACATTTGATATTTCGATGGACTTAAAGTCTGGACTTTGGAATCTTGTTATATCTCGCAATATGTGGCAAAGAGTGTAATAATGTTCACATAGCGGTAACTTTCAAAAACATAAATGATAAGAGTTATACATATATAAAATATTAGCTGTGTATTAAACCTTTCGGGACTACTGAGACAATACGTCCCAACAAATTTCAAACTTCTGAGTTTTTAATATTTTTAAAGTGATCGCCAATTTAAGCCATCCCAAACGCAGATTTCAGTGGCTATTTCACGACGATGAATTTTAGAACCTCGGTAAAATTTCATCAGTTCGATGCGCACTAAATATTAGTGTTTTTTCAGCGAGAAAAATAGTAAATTTTTATAAAAATTTATTTTTGAAGCTTAAGCAGTAATACAATGTAAGTTATACATGATTTTATAAAAATGGGACTTAAAATGGGTAATACGGTTTTGCTGGAATTAAAGTCCACTGGGTAAACGTTACATCTGAAAACCACGCAGACTTCAAGCCAAAGTACCAATTTCCATCTGAATGGTGCAAAAAAAGTTTTATTTGCCAGTAATGATAACTCCAATGAGTTTCAAGTGTTTAGCAAGCTGACCATTAATATCATTAGTAACATGTTCCTATGCGACTGATCGCACCATCGAGGAGTTCTCGTATTTTTTGCAGAGATGTGCAACAATAAAAGTATGCAGTTGAATTCGATATCAGAAAGTTTACGGATACAGAATTAAAGTAGAATAACCTGTAACTACTATATCTCTATTTGAATAATACAGTCTATTTAATTATCAGCAGTTTTGTGTTCGATTCGCTACACTCTAATTATAGAAAGGAAACAAGTCAACTCCAACTCTAAGTAAAACAACTTCTAATTTGTTATTTAGTATTTAATGTTTCTACCAATAATTATACACATCTGCGCATACTTATAAAAAATGTTTATCACATAATATTTATTAGCAAAAAGTCCCAGTTACTAGTGGTTTTTACGTTATTACTATTATTTGCGTAATAACATAAGACTATTAAATTATAAAGTTACATTAATTTTCTGATTGAGATCGCTTTATTTTAATAAATACATAACAGAAAAACAAGAAAACAAAAAACACAAAATACAAATAAAGTATTAAATATATGTGTATACCATATTTCTATTGATAATACTTATGTGTGTACAATTCGTAAGCCGATTAGCACACGTGAACGTGGAACGTGCCCGAAGCGAAATGTAATAAATTGGACGCTTTCTTTACCTACCATAAAATAATAGCTAAAATTGAATTAATTTTACTACATACACTGCTGTTATATTTATGTGCATTAGCGTGCATCTGCAAATGTCAAAATTAGTAATTTTTATATGACTGTAACTACTCTTCTTGTAAAGATGAGCATACTTTGTTTTAGATTTCAGTAAAGCTCAAAAACTTAATTTTATTTTTATGTGTTTATAAGAAATTGCATTAATTATTTGTACGTTAAATTTTAATAAAAAAAAGATTTTTTCCCATGTTAGTTAAATGATAGAACTAAAATAAAAATATCGACTTCATAGTGTTAAGCAATAGAACACAAGTTCGGTGAAGATTTTTTACATCAATGCACATTGAAGCATTTGGGAGAGTAAGAGTTAGAAAAAAATTTTTTTTTAAACGCTCTAATGTATATACATAAGTATACCATACGAAAAAAAGTAAAACAGTAATAGATATACTGTTACTATATATGCTATAGTGGTCCGATATCGGCGGTTCCGACAAATGAGCAGCGTCTGAGGGAGACAAGGTCGTGTGACAGACAGACGGACATTAGCCTCAGCTCGTCACGCTGATCTCTTATATATAGATTTTATAGGATGTCTGCCGGGGTCATTTGGGTGGTAAACTTAAAGTACCCTAATCAGGCTATCATACTATTCATTATAGTAGTTATCGAGAGTAATATAATACTTATATAGGCGAATTTTCTTCAGAACTGGAAAAAGTCAATTTGTAAAGAGCTTTTGTATATATATTGAAATTTTCGTCGGTAACAAACTCTTGTGGACGTTCAAACCATTCTTCGCTATTAGTGCTAATTTCGTCTATCTTAAAGCCACTGTTTGGTGGGAGCAGCATTATTTTCATCAAAAATAGTGTTAACACACGAAGTTTCTTTTGCCATATTTTGTACTGCAAACGTGTGGCATTCCAAATGCTATGTCTCACGAATAAATTTTCAGACATTTTTAGTTCGAAGGGTTATAGCACCTAGATTAGGTCCATTCGACGTCGAAAAGATTGTCGTAATATAATATTTATTAGCCATTCGAAAACTGCTTAATACTTTCAGGTCACTTATTGTAGCTGAAAACATCTATACAATGAGATACACATACACTGTCCATAAAGATCAGGGAACTGAACATACTAAAACTGTATAAAATGACATTTAAAAAGTTGAAAGAAATATTTTTAAATTAATTGAGTGTTCCTATTGTTATTAATAATAACCTTCTGATTATTCGATACGCTACGTGTGCCAGCTATATTGGCCAAAATTTTTACTTGTGAAGGGAACAACTAAGTTGTGCTTTCGAATAACTACAGATGCCTCAATAAATTGATATAGCCGCTTTCAATCTTTATTTACTTCATTGCTGTCATTCGCTCGATTCGGCGCTCTCCAAGTTTTTACGGAATCCAGTTTTGACATTTCGTTTCTTATCATGCTGTAGGCAGGGGAGAAAATCCGCTTTAGATATTGAAGGTATACTTTTCCAGATAAGTTAAAAGTGAAATATGACAATATGTAAATTCTGACAGCTGTGCAAGCAGAGTTGTCGGCATAAATATTTACAAATACAAACAGATATTTCCTCTGTAAGCGTACAAATGTATCTGACGTATTTATATATTTTTTTACATCTATGTACC